GGTTTTTTCAAACAGTGCACATAAGACTGAACTACAGAAAATCAATGCCATTATAATAAATGAAATGTCTATGGTGGAGAATGATCTGCTCATCTTCATCCACAATATATTCTTCTGAGTTCACAACAATAACTCAACAAATATAACAAACACCTTTGATTTTTTTTTTGGTATTGGTATGTTAACATTAACATGGATCACATCAATCAATATCATAATCACTATGTTTAAAAAAAATCATTTAGATTAATTTATAAAATCGAATTTTATTTTTTATTAAATAATCTTTACTATTATTTTGTGAATCACTTATTGAAGCATCCTTGTTTTTCTCAAGTTGTATTTCTCCTAGACTTTTTGCAATTGAATTTTTATCAGTAGAAAAAATTGGTTTCCCGAGTAACTTGTCATATCAACAAAAAATAATTAGTAATGATCAGTGAGGTGATAATCATGTATTTTTCCGCAAAAATCATCCACAATCGTTAAATCAATTTCTAAATAAGGATAACACGCACCCAACCCACCAATAAAATTGGATATTTTCATGATACTGCACAAAATTGTAAATGATTTTTGCGGAAAAATACACGATTTTAGTCCCACAATAATAAAATCCAAAGTTCATTTTGAATTATTTGCTTTATTTCATTTTATTTTGAATTATTTGTTTTATTTCATTTTATTTTGAATTATTCGTTTTATTCGAATAGAAACCCTAGTTCTGGTCAAGTGCAAGTTTTTTTCCAGTTGCACACGTACTCTTATTGCAGGTAAGTTCTGGTCAGTGTCTCCAGCTTCATATGCTCCAAAAAAAAAATAGAAATATATTACTTGAGGCATCAATACAAGCAATATAATAAAATTAAACATCAGAAAGGATTATTAATCAATCATACCAACTTTTATTAACCAATTACAGTTTTTATTATCAAAAAATCGAAGGAAATTTTCAAGTGTATTTATACTTCTTGAAGTATTACAAATACGAATTTTTACATAATAAATAGAATGATTAATAATTAATGTTAAATGGTGATGTCAAAAATGAATTGATTGACAACAATTGGGATCCGGGTTGGACCTCATTGTAAACCCAGTTTTGGAATGAAATAAGCTCTTTCATGACCCATAAGTCGTTATTGTATTAAGAGAAGCCATTAATTAATTAATGATCATGTATAGATAGGACTGGAGATTATATTACTGATTTCCGACAGCTTTTAATTGGTAAAAATTATGAAAAAGAAAAGAAGTAATGATGAGCCATAATTTTCATAGTTATTGGGCAATTTAATCATGGACGTAAATATGACAAAAAAAGTACACCGAGTAGTTTTAAAAGTAAGAAACAAAAAATATGGTTTTTTCCTCTCATTAATGACATGTTTTTTATTATGGAATGGCAAATATGTAATAAAGACATTTTAAGATTCGCTGTATATTTGAATTTTCCAAAAAAAAGGTGATTTACCATTAAACTATCCACCGAGATTGCCTGGTTATCGTGTACTTATATTCAGTAAAAAAAAATTCGCTCTTCTATTGGATTGCCTGTTATCCCCTAAATATGAGCTTTTTTATGGAGCTTACAAACGTAAAACGCGTGAAAACACAAAAAAAAACATATAGCGTTCAAACTGATGCATAATTTAAATCATATTTTTCAAGTTAATTCTATATATAAAAGTTGTGTTTACTTGTTGATTTTTCCTTTTTAAAGACAAAGTTAAAATCACATTTGTTCAAACTGTATCTATTATTCGCGCTTAAAATACATATACGCAAGTTAATTTTGGGAGCTTTTATTTAGTACATGTGTCGTATTTACTCCAAAAAAAAACGATCCTTTTTTATATAATCTGTTGTTGTTGACCTGTCAGGTCAATCAGATCGAGTTAACAATCGAAGAAACTCAAATCAGGTCAGGTGATCACTATACGCGATTTGCTCGGAGCCTCTAATCAAAAATTTATTACTATTACAGAGCCAATAAATAATATTTACGGGTTTGAATTTATTTATTTTAATTAACTACGGATTTTGTCATTGTTTCCTGATAATAACCTACCCAATACTAAAAGTAAAGTCGTGGTTTTTAACCAATCCTTTTTGTATTGTTTCAATTTGCATTTGGAATTTGAAAACTTCTGTATATATTATTAGTAAGTGGCTGGGATCCTTGTTAGGTTCTCTCTCGTGTGGTTTCTTTCCGTGTTTTTTTTTGGTAATGGATATTACCATAATAGAAGAAACGAAAAATAAAGTACATGTTAGTCTTTAAATGAAAGGATAGAGGATAGAAAATATATTTTTAGTGAAATGTGAACATAGGTATTTATTTTATATCAGCTCTATTGAAAAGGAGTCTAAGAAGCAATAATAAAATTTTTTGATCAAAAATCGTCGATCGCAAAAAAAAAATTTTTTTTACGCTCAAAAAGAAAAATTATGTTTAAAAGAAGAATTTTTTCATTATTAAGCATTCCACAAACTACAGCCGAAAATTATTACATTGTAAGTAATAATAAAGCAATTTTTTAAAAAAAAGAATAAGAATAAACTTAATTAAAAATACATATATGGTTTTTACTCGAGCGTCTTTTTAAAAAGCCTCATTTTCTTAGTTTACGAAAATTGACAACAACACAAAATGTTAGTCAAATAAAAGAACAACTTTCTAAAAAACAATTAGCTGTTAAATTACCATTATCAAAAACTCCAACACCGCCTAAAGTTTATAAACCACCAGCATTAGGTGTTAATCCAGCTTACGACGAAGCCTTAAAATACATCAATGAAGACAAACAAAGAAAATTAGAAGAGATTAAAGTGATCGAGGCTCAAATAAGCGAATTGTTGAAAGGTTTGATTCGCGACATTTAATTTAATTAAAATAAATTATTATTACTTTTATAATTGAATTTGCTTTTTCATTATTTACAATAGATAAAAACAAAAGTGAAGAACAAGATGATAAATTAAGTCAATTGGAAAATAAAAAAACTGATTTAGAGATCCTGTCACAAGTAAATGATCCAGAAATTCAATGGAAATATAATAATAACAAAGGTAAATTGTAATAATAGAAGATATTCTATAAGAAATTATTTAGAGATCTTTATATAAACAAATAATCTAATAAAATTACATCTCTCTGATTAGATTCAATTGATATGTCAAATGCTGTTTATCGTCATTTAAGAGAAAAAGAATGGAGGATTGAGTCACTTCCAATATTGGTAAATAACATTTATTAGAAAAAAGCATTTATTGTTGTCTATAATTAATTGATTCTACGATATCTATTATTTATTGTTATCCGTTATTTTATCTTCTAGAGACAACGTATAGAACAAATGTATGTAGTTCCAGATTTATTTCCTACATTTGAACCAAAAATTGATCTTCAATTCAAATACAAAAAAATCATTGAACCAGGAGTTTTCCTATTTCCAGGAATGGTAAATTTTCTTTTTTTTTTTTTACATTTAGATAAATAAACCAACAGAATCAAAAAAGTCTGAAATTTATTTCTTTTATAAAGACTATTAAAGAACCGGTGATAATTGCAACAAACTTTCATACCGAGACACGATTATACACACTGATTTTTGTTAATCCTGGTAATTTATTTCATTTAGGATTGATCATTTTTAAAATAATAATTATTAATACATTTTGGATAATCTTTATTTCAGATATGCCTGATACGAAAAATCAATCATATCAAACACAGTGGCTTTGGTTGATGTAAGTAATTGAGATGATTTAAAATATTTTTGATCTTTATTGATGAAATGATAAAGCAAAATTTTTGATTACATTCTCAAAAAAAAAGAAGAAACATTCCTTTAAATGCAACAAAATCTAATATCCTTGGAGGCCAGATAATTTTACCTTACACGCCACCACACCCACCTAAAGGAACATTTTATCATAGATACACTTTTGCTATATTCGAACAGTTTAACAATGAAAAGATCCTAGTGAATAATAATAACGTAGGTCCGAATATGGATGTTAGAAGTTTTGTCGAGAAATATAAATTGACATTACGTGGCGCAACTTTCTTTAGAGAAGTGTGGGATATAGAAGTTTCAAGAATTTACAAAGATATCTTAAGTAAGTTTTGTTCCGCAAAGTTTTTTTTTTCATTTTTTATTTTAATAATTACATGTTTTAATTTGTAGAAACACATGAGCCTCAATATGGACCAATACCTAAAAGTGATTATTATTTGGATAAAACTGGAAAAAAGAAACCAAAATATCCTGAAATTGTAAAGGGGTTTTTCGATTCCAAAAAGAACTTAGTACCATATGAATAAATTAATTGTTACATTTTCTGGGCAATAAGGATTTATCTAAATATTTAAATTTGTTTTGAATCTATTAATGTTAAATATTAAGAATAATCTACCATTATTATTGCTGATTGATAAAATCAAAGTCTACTGGTATAAACAGTACATTAGGGTGTACAGTTGTTTTCATTTTTGATGGCCATATACTATCTTTATCTATCTAGTTGAGCTGCAAAAATTATTTTGTGGCATAATGTTGGTATGACCCATATAATAAAATAATAGATGTCCATTGTATTTATTGTCAGATCCAAACCAAATTGCACCTTTCTCACCCGAGTAAGACGGGCGAGTTATTGAAATTTTTTAAAATAAACTTTTGTGAAACTGCCTTTGGTAAATTTTCAATATTTCCCGCGATCATTTTTCTGCTAATGATAAACATATTTACACAACCATGGGCAAGTAAAATTTGGTAGACTTTGAATTTGATTGGTATATCGTATTCTTCTAACGACACACCTTTTCTGCTTAACACTCTTGTCATCGAATATTTTACAAAGAAATTACAGATCATTATATATATATATATATATATATAATATTTAATGAATCAGAAAGTAATAAGTTACATAAAATTTTTTGAGAAAAATACAGTGAATAAAAAAATTTTTTGGTATAAAAAAAGATATTTTTAAATATTAATAGCAATTAAAGCGTTAGTTCCACTCCAGTCCTCGTTGCTAACTACTCTAACTGCTCTTTTAACGGTATCTAATTCTAATAATTCACTACCATCAACCAAATAAACCTTTGTATCAATTACAGCGGTACATTTAACATCGACCCAGGTTCTTGTTGAATAATCATCATAGTCATTAAAATCATCATCATTAGAATCATTGTCACTTTCCCCTTCTTTATTAAAAAACAATTTACATTCTCCAGTTTCCACGTCAACTTCCCACAACCAATGACAAAACGCTAACAACATTCCGTTAACATTAACTAATGCTTTACAATTTGACCAATCGTCATCATTGCCTATTTTTTCAGGTTTATAATTTTTTGAAGTATCAATGCACCATAAATTATTTGAAGTTGTAAAATATATTTTATCATTAATACTGGTAGCGACATTTACTTCTGACCAATCATCATCACTGGATCCATCAGAAAAATCTATACAACTGCCAACTTTTTGATCAACCAACCAAAGTTTATCGCAAAATGAAAATAATTTATTTCCTAAAGTTTCTGGAGATTTAATTGAAATTAAGACATTGCATGCATCCCAACCACCTTTATCAACTCTTCTTCTGGCACCATCATCATTTAATGAGATTTCCCAAAGATTGCCATACGATGTAGTTAAATAAATATTATTTGTGGGAGTTATTGCAGCAGCAGTTGTTGTGGACCAGTCTTCTGCGTCGTAAACTTTGTAAGAGCCAGTTTCTGGAATAACAGTATATATTTTATTTGCAATGGCCAATAACCTTTTCTTAATAATCATATTAAATGTTAAATGAAAAATAAATGATAAATGAAAAATAAATGATAAATGAAAAAATAAATTTAAAATGAAAAAATAATGAAAAAAAAGGTTTAGTAGTACCAATGAATAAATTCGCTTATTAATATTAATCCAAATGTTTTAATCAATTGTTTGAAAATTAAATATTCTACAATTGGATTAATGATAATCGACATTGCGCAAAAATTCTCAACTTTATTAATCGGGTTGACTACTTCATAATCTGAATGAGCAATTTAGCTAAACTGACTAAACTATTTATATGGTCATTATGTTAGTCAAAGACAATTGTTACTCAAATTAAGGCTTTAACCCTTTACTGGTTAACTAGTTTTGATTTAACACGTGAAATTTTTTAACTTCAAACGAATATAACCATAGTATATAATAGTAATGGTAGTGGTATATATATGCACTATCAAAATTTTTCCTTTGTAGTCCTTGTAGTGACAAGAGTAATAATAATAGCAGAAGTAATTGACATTTTTTCTTTTCTTTTCTTTAGTCAATTAATAATAATAGTTATGGAGAGTGGTTTTTCTCTTGTAATGATAACAATAATAGTGTTTTAAATTTTTTTCTACTAGCAAATAGTCATATAGTAATGGTAGGATGAATTTGAACATTCAAAAATTACATTGAATGTTTGTTTAATTGAATCAAATGATTTGAATAAAATGAATAAGTTGAATAAACAAAACAAATAATTCAAATACAGTAAAATGAAATAATGAATAAACGAATAATGAATAGAATGAATAATGAATAATGAATAAAATCAAACAATTACATTTAATTTGAATAAGAATTTGTAATACGAATAGAAACTAGTCACAAGTCCGAAAAAAAGTAAAGATTGATACCAACCTCTATTTTTAATGGCAATAATAAAATAAAAGATGATCTAAAAACAATTTTTTGTGCATATATGGATAATATGAATAACCAGCTGATAATGGCTGTTCAATTGCCAAGACTTTGATTATTGAATTGCCAAAATTTTGATTCAACTTATTTCGTTTCACAATGATCGGGAGTGATACAGAAAAATTTTCAATAAAAGAATCTGGTTACTTAAATTAGAAAGACCTTCTGATATTTTAAATTTCGGACTGAGAGATTTATAGATGACTTGAATCATACTTATTGAAAAATTTTCGTAATGGTGCTATACAATTCCCATATATATATATATATGGGGATTTCTAAAAACCAGATTAAAGACTTCCTTGGCTGAAACTGAGGTTTTTACATAAAATGATATTAATCTATAACTTGAGGAGGATTATAATTTGCTGAGACTGTCTTTCTTCATCTCCGAGATAAATAATTCAAGATCAAGATTGTTACACGGGAAAAAGGAAATCGACTCCCCGAAATTTAAAACTTCATTAATAATTATTTATTATATCAGTTATATAGTGCGTCTCGGCGACAGTTTTTGAGAAAAAAATTACAATAAAAAATGCAATAAAAATTTTATTGTCACGTGTTTGTGAAGATTATGATAATATGTACATATAGATAGTTAAGGAAAATTTTGTTCATAATATGGTTCTCGGTTTTTTTTTCTTGCCGTTATCGCGTGATAAAATATTGACCATACAAATTCAAATTTCAATCGTTCATTCTTAATATTAATATGAAAAATTTGTGTGTAACACGTCACTTTGGGGTTAACATAGTAAATTTGTTAAACTTATAGAGAAAGATCTTGATTTCAAAATTACACCTTGCTTTTTTTTGGTTATGGAAGACCAATAAAAGTTGTAGGGACTAGGTGTCCTGCACTGTATACAGTACACTCTCTCTATAACGGCCTTTTCTATAACGAACTGGGAATTGGGTTCCAATTTTTTACTATATAAAAATCCCACTCTATAACGGTCTTCTTAATTAAATTTCCTATACTATAACTGCCTGTCCCTGAAATTCACTAATGTTTATATGACTGCCTATAACGGCCGACGATCACGATCCGAAATTATAACTGTTAAATTAGGAAATTTTCTACAAATTATTTATTAAGTCGATCATGTCGGAGCGGACCTCTGTGACCGAACCGAGGTATCGAATTTCACGTGATTTTTTAAATTTAAAATATTTAATCTTTTTATCTCATATATACATTAAATCAATCTTTTTGTAAATCTTTCTGAACATAATAAAACTTAATAGGAATATAAATGTATTTCTTCACATTAGATAATCAATGATATAAGTGATGATATAAAAATGAGGTAAATAAATGAGATGAATAAATACACATGTATTGTCCGTGTTTAAACAAGAATGTTCTATAAATTCTTGATGATATAACTGATGAGATAATAATATATTAATGCGTTATTCATGCTAAATGAATGATAAAATGATGATACAACTGCCAATTAATTCGTGATCCGCTGATCAATGATAGAAACTCGCCAATAAAAATCGGGCGATCTACATATATAAACAAAAGTTGCATGGTCTTTTCTTATATTAAATAAATAGTTTACTCTTGGGCAGCTGTGGATTCCACATAAAATACATGTATGAATTTATGAAAAAAATAATAGAATCGTAACATTACAAAAAAAAAATGTAGCTAGTTTTAATGGTAATTCTCAACTATTTTCATTAATTCAGTTTTGCGTTCTGCAGAATAAAAAGTGTATATGTCATTCATTATCTGTATGAAAAATCCTTGAAAATGGTAATTATTTTTTAGAAAATTTTGTTCTGCCTCCACCCTTTTTCAAATTGTCTATAGAAATTATTTTTTAACAAAACTATTATTTCTTTGAAATAGATTTTTTTATATTGGGCTAACAAGGAAAAATAAATATTTCCAATGGCTGACAAAAGATCAATATGCCAGATCTTAAAATATTTTCTTCAATTTAATTGCTCAGCTTGAATATGATTTTTATGATTGTAATACTTGCCAAAAATAATCATGGTGGAATATGAAATTTGATTATACAAGAGCACAGCAAAATTCGAAACATTTAATTTATTTTACTATTTAAAAATATAGCGAATAAATTCATTAGCCATTGTTGCTATAAATTAACATTAACAATATTATTCATTATTTACCAACGATGATAATGATTACGGTAAAATAGCATTTCTTCCCCACTCTTTATGTTTCCAAATACACTCACCTGCCAAAGTATTGGCAATTTTGCAGATCGCCGGAAATAATTGAACAAAGTGTAATAAAAATAACTCTAAATTTTATTATCACAATCACTTTTGTGTATTAAGCGAAAATCAATTTTCATAATGATTGCCATAACATACTTGAGTTTATAATGTTTTGTTTATAATTGATAATTTTATTAGCTTTAAAAGTCAAAGTAAAAAATTTTCAATTGATAACAAAACCTAATTGCCAAGTTTTAACATGTCTAGATAGCACAATAAAAAATGTGTGCCATGCTTTAAAATATATATATATATATTGGTAGAATAATAGGTAATACAAACATTCATCAAAATTGTTTTTAGATCTTCACGTTGTTTTTCGCAAAAAATCATATATTTAAATCAGATGACTAAAATTAGAGAGTTATCTGTTGTTGAGCGCGCAGAGGTAATTGGTGCTTGGAAATGTGATGTAAGCAAAACAGAAATAAGCAAAAGACTTGGGATACCATTGAGAACAATATATAATATTATAGAAAAATACAATAAAGAAGGAACTGTTGAAAATGATAAGAGAAGTGGGAGACCCAAGTCACTTTCAGATAGAGATAAACGTGCTTTAGTGAAATTTGTCTGAAAAAAATAGGAAAAATGCAGTAGAAGATTATAAAAACGAAATAAATAAGGTTCTCTCAAGGCCTGTAAGTACAAGAACAGTGCAAAGAAATTTACATGAAATGGGTTATTATGCGCGTGCAGGAAAAAGAAAGCCTTTATTTAATATCAGAAATAAATAGAAAAAAACGTTGTCATTTTGTGAGTTATTGTAAAGTTTGGTTAGAATGGGATGAAGCCATATTCAGTGATGAATCAAGATTCAATGTATTTGACAATGACTCCCAAAACTTGGTTTGGAGACAACCCCATGAGAAATATAATATTGATTGTTTAGTACCTAAAGTTGCACACTCACCTGGAATAATGGTATGGGGATGCTTTACTCGAGATCAAATTGGTCCACTAATACAAGTTGATGGTAGCATTACAGGTGAAGCATATGAAAAAATACTCAAAGATCACTTATTACCTTTTATTCAATCTTTGGACTCTTCAAAGTTATGGGTATTTCAGGATGATAATGCTCGACCCCACAGAGCAGGCAGGGTTGAACAATTTAAACAAGATAATGATGTTCTTTCACTTCCTTGGCCACCCCAGAGTCCAGATTTAAATCCAATAGAAAATTTATGGGATGTAAATGAATTTTTGTTCTCGCGTAGCACAGCTCACATCACATTCCCAGTTGTAGACTTGTTATAAATTACAAATAAAACCAAATTATCCTCCCCTTCCCCTTTAATAATTAATAATTAATAAATTTCCTTGATAAATTTTTATTATTGAATTTATTGCTATTATAATACAAATTTTTTGGATGATTCCATTTTTTATTTAATCTATTTCTTACTATATTTGATCGATTTTCTTTATCATTAATGTTACATAATGTAATCACTTCTCTTTTATACCTTTTTGCAGTTTCATCACCTAATTCATCTGATTCTTTAATTCTGGTTAACAATAATCTAAAGTCTTTTAGTTTTGGTTTATGTTTATTTGATAAATTTTTTATTAATTTCATACTACTATGAATATTGTTGCTTCTATTATTATTAAAAAATTAATTAAATTAATTAAAAATCCATAATAATAATTCATAATAAAATTATCAAAATACTTGCTTTGCTGAAGTAATAATCATTATAGTATACAATTTGTACTCTAATTCCTCAGTAAGACCAATTCTTTCAAATTCCATTTTTTGTTGGTAAACGTTTTTAAAATCTTTAAAGATTCTCTCGCTTTCTTCCCGTGACCATCCAAGAAAATCGTTCCAGACATCCCATGCCAAAGAGAATCGATTATATTTGTAACAAGCATTTAACATATGTAAAAATATCCAACTACTTAACTCCACTTGATGTTTTGGTATTATTTCTTTATAAATCTTTAATAAACTATCAAAACTTGATTTGTTCTCAATTAAACTCATATAAGAACAAATTAATCGAGACGTTAATTTTGTATTATTGTTGTTGTTGTTGTTGTTGGACAGTATTTGTTTTGCTGATAATGATGACAACAAATAATTAAATATCATTTCGGCTTCTAAACGAGTTTGTAAATGTGATGTTGGAATAGTGGAGAATATTGGATACTCATCTTTTCCAATAACCAATATTTTATTATTTTTAAATTTTTTCATTGTGTTTTCAGATGTAATTTCAGATTTTGATAAACTATCATCATCATTATCACCATCATTATCATCCTCTCCTGTTAAAACATTCTCATTTTTGTTATTGCCAATGATATTGGAATTTTCAATAGAATTGTTACTGTTGTTTAATTCTTCTTGATAAGATGAATAAGTCCAGAATAAATTTGAAAAAGTTAATTCGTCAGGTGCTAATGATGGATCTTCCTTTGAGCTAATAAAATAAAATAATATTAAATATTTGTTTTAAAAAAATGTTTAATAATATTAATAATAATGCTTACCATAGTAATAATAATTACCTTTGAATTATTGATATAAATAAATTCCTAGCTAATTTTAAATCTTTATTTATAGCACATGCATACATTAAAGAATTATATGTAATCAGATCAGGCGAGCATCCATGTTCTTTCATTTCTTGAACTAAATCAAATGCCTTTCTATAATAATGTATTTTATTTTAATAAGCATAAGTTAAAAATAATAATACTTGTATTCAAATTGTATATAATTTTTTTCTTTATAAAAAAAGATATCTTTTCGTTTCGAACAAGCATCAATTAATGAATTATATGTAATTCCAGTAAGTTTTAGTCCTTGTTCTAACATTTCTTTGTATAAATCAAAGGCTTTTTCTGCGTTTTTTTCCTTTTTTGATATATTAATAAAACAATAATTCCATTAATAAGGAAGGGAGGAACGAAGGAAGGAAGGAGAATAATAGTAATTATCATTATCGTATAACTAATGATTAACTATTATTAATTACCTTTGCACAAGCATGAATCATTAAACTGTAGGTCATTTCATCAGGTTGACAAACTTCCAAACGCATATGTTCAAATATAATCCATGCACGTTTTAATTCATTATTATCAATACAACATTTAATTAGAATACTATAAATAGGCTTATTATTATCATCATTATTAAAACACGCGCAAATCACATTAATATTAAAACATGATTTCTTCTTCTATCTCACATAATATTAAAAAATTCTCTAACCTGATTTGGTATCAAATTCCCCATCTTTAATTTATTGAAAACTTCAAATACATCATTGATTCTTCTATGATATGCATAAGCTTTAATTAAATTCGCGTAACTGTATAATGTTGGCACAAATCCATCTAAATAAAAAAAATGATATATACATTAACTTTATAAATACTATCTGTATTCAAATAAATTTAATAAATATAATACTTTTTTCAATTTGATCAAAAATTTCAATCGCTCGATCTAGATTTCCGATATTTGAATAATGATTTAAAAGGTGATCATATATTATAAGATCTGGTGACAGTGCAGATTTCTAAATAAAAAAAGAAATAAGTGATTGATTGTTGTTAAAAATCAATTTTTGGCATTGTTTTATCTAACCTTTTCCAGTCTTTTTATAATCTCTGGATCATATAGATTTTTGAACATTGCCTAAATAATTATTATTGATATTAAAAATGCTATTTTAAATATTATTCTTTCAAAAAATGCACTTGTGTATATTTACATCATTGTTCTTTATTATTGTCTTATTTTGGTTTAATAAATAATTTTCATCTTCTTCTTTTAAAGATTTTTTCTTTATAGTTGTTTTTAGATTGAAAATCTGATCAAAATCAATGGATGATTGATTGATGATATCTTCTGGATTATTTCTTTTTGTTATTATTAATGTTGAAGATGATGACTCTGGTTTTGTTATGGATTCCGATAAAATTTCATTTTCTTCATCGTTATTTCTTTTTCCCAATAATGAAATTTTATTTGAAGAAGTAATTGATCGATATATACTTTCATAGTCATCAATATTTGAAAACGGAATATATTCCGTCTAAATAAAATATTAATATGTATTGTCTAATGTAAGAAAAAATTTAATTAATAATAAATAGCAAAAAAAACCTTTGAAATATTTTGTTTATCAGAAGTTGATATTTTTTCTTGTAATCTTTGAATATTTTGATCCAAAATCGATAATTTTTTTTCTAACCTAAAATAATCAATTAATTAATATTAAAATAATCATAATTATCAATTGATTGATTTATTGATTGATTTATTTATTACTTTTTACTAAATCTACTATTATATGATGAATACATTTGATTTTGTTGATGATAAAGAGTGCAATTTGAAGGTCTTGGTAAAATATAAAATAATGATTTTTTTTTTAATTTTAATGGTAATGACAAAAAAATCGTTTGAGATGTTGATTTTCTATATAATTTTGAAAGCATATTAAAAATATTAATTTTACAAAAAAATTTTTATCGATTTTTATTTTTCGTAGATTATCTATCGATGATTTCCTTCCAATAATAAACTCTTAATTTTAAAATCCGCTTTTAAAAAATGTATTGCCACAATACCAATATTAATTATATTGAAGATGATGATGATTATAAAACATTATACTCTTGCATTCTAGTTAATAAAAAAATGGCACAATTTCAATATTCCAACATCATGGAGAGGTCAATTTAATCCTGAAAATAGTATTTAAATATTAATTAATTGTTTATTGGTTGAAGACAAGAGCTTCTTGGTGGAACATGGGATTGGATTAATTTTTAAATTATTGAAGAAATCGTCTTTATAAATTTGTGGCTGAATTGGATTTTTGATCAAACGAGTTCATTGATAGAATCTGGCAAACTTGATTGTCTGGAAACAACTTTTTTTTTTTAGATTATTCATTACTCGAGAAACTTGCAACTGATTCAAATTACATATACAGGAGTGAAGTGATTAATTATCATATATTTGATCCTTGCTTTCAGAATCTTTATCAGTTAACTTGTCACTTTTTTAATTAACAAATATTTTTTGTAGAAATGTTCAAGATCTAACAATCATTTATGATAATGGTCTGGTGCAATTAATCTCATATATAGCACAAAATCAATTAAAAAATTATTACATGCAATTTTGATTTAATTTTTTTAGAATATTTTTAAAAAAAACATCAACTTATTATGTAAGTCATGAGAAAGTTAACGTGGATTCTTTTAATGCCAACATTTCAAAACTTGGAGATTTTATCGCTAATTGGTCCTCGCAATGATTTAGCCAAGGACAAAATATAAAATGTTTTACTTCCAAACCTTGAAGCTATGGCCATTTCTATTGGAATTGTTATATTTCATAAGAATCCACGGAAAACATCTTTAAAAAAAACCAACAGTCAGTGGTTTACCAAAGGATGGAATATTTTAAGAATACCAATTGAAACTCAAGATTGCAAAATCTCTGTTTTTTTATAGCAAGAAAGTACATGAGCAGTTAAATTTAAATACCATAATTTTTATGACTATATAATTCTTTTTGATGGAATTTAATGAAGAATTGGAGGGGACCTAAACCTTTTATAATAAAACTATTCAGTGATTACGGACCTTATTTGGAAGAGGAAAAGAACTTTATAATTCATTAAAAAATTAAAATTTTTAAACAAACTTTTTTAACAGTTGATAGAGATTAAATAAAAATTCATTGAAATCAAGATGTTTATATCGGACATGTATGTTTGCAAATGTTTTATATATTACTAAAACTCTTCAAAACGAGCACCCAACGAATTATAGTTGCAATGAATTTAATGCTTAGCGAAAACATAATCTCTTCCAAAAAATCTACATCTTTTTCATTGTTATTTCAAAACTCAATTAATCATTATTCTATCAGAAAAGAACGAATCAAGTTATTCGCACAACAAAAGGAGCGAGCTTATGTACAACATCATCTAAGCCGCCAATTAAATTAGTACGAGATACTCGTAATCATCCATTTGACTTTAAAAAAAATTTTTTGGTGAAGAAATTTATGGTTTGGATTTTGTTCAATCTGAAGGAAAATTATCATATATCACTATTACCAGTAAAGATACTGGGAAAAGAAAAGAAAGAAATATATAATTGATGCTAATGATTAATAGTAAATGATAAGATGATTATAATTAAACTACGAACTACTACTACTACTATTATTATTATTATTAGTGATTTTGTTGAAAATACAAAAACTGAAATTCACATTTATATAAAGCTCATTTATTTATTTTGAAAATAAAATAAAATTCTTATATATAACATTGTACATTGTTAAAAAATTAAGTCTTGGTAATTGATCCAATACATTTTTACCAAATATATTATTCTGGTCATAGAATCCTTAGCAGTTGATTTCCTCAGAGACATTATTACAACTGACAATGTGCAAAAACTGTAAATAAATATATTTAAAATTCTTATAAATGAATTAAATAATTGTATGATGATGAATGTGTTGTTAAATGATAGTAATAATCCTTATAATATAATAATATATTTGTTTGTTTATAATATTTTAAATCAAGCCTGCTTTTTCCATTTCCTACCAAAAAAAATTACACACACACATATATATATATTAGTGATATTATAATAATAATAATATTACTATTATATAAAAAAAAATTTTTTAACCACTAACTTCTCTTAAATGAACTCCAAGTTTAGCAGGACTTTTTGAAATAATAACACCAGCACTTTCCAATGCTTTAATTTTATCAGTTGCAGAGCCTTTACCACCAGCAATTATAGCTCCTGCATGACCCATACGACGTCCTGGCGGTGCAGTTAAACCAGCAATGAAAGAAACTACAGGTTTTGGTTGAGATTGAGACAAATTATGTTGTTTTAAAAATTCTGCTGCTTCTTCTTCAGCAGTACCGCCAATTTCTCCAATCAATATAATACCTATTACAAATAACAATAATGATGATGATGATGATGATATCATTTAATTTGAATTTTCATTCGGGGGGGGGGGGGGTTTAAAAAGAAATAAAACCTTTTT